TTTGTGTGTGTGTGTGTGTGTGTGTGTGTGTGTGTGTGTGTGTGTGTGTGTGTGTGTGTGTGTGTGCACGCGCACACGCGTAATTGTGTGCACACCCGCGCGCACGCCCAGGTGAGCAAAGATCTGTAACTCTCGGCCACCGGCCCAGCAGGCGAGGATTTGTGGTCGTGGCCTGGACCCGCGAGCACGCGGCATACAATTCTAGTGGCGGCTGCAGCTTCCCGTCAAGACACCCGACCTGCAGGCCCTTGGTGCTGGCCATGACGGCGTTGGTGTAGTTGTTTTCAGCCTGAAGGTATGAGATGACTTCGGGGCTCTTGCGGGCGTCATCCCTCAGCCTGCACGTGGCAACAGGGGGGGGCCACAGCGGAGCGAGGCTTGCTGGCCATAGGTGCAGACATTGCGCATGCTGCCGAGCCTTTGATGTACCAATCAAGCAATGCAAGGCAGCCGATTAACATTTCGCAGTCACAGATGGCTCCAAGCTGCCGAAGATTGCTCAAAGTGTCTGCGCCCTGCTCTGTCTGGCCATGACTGCACGCCGCCCCTTGCTCCGCCAAGGGCGCACCCCTAGCAGTACCCACCAGTAGTAATCGTCGACACGGGTGTCGTTGTTGATGGTCATGACGTGAGGGTGTCTGGGCGCCACCGGCGGGTGCAGCGACCTGGCGGCCTCAAAATCGCCGCCCCTGCCGTTTCAAAGCGTGATGCTGTGCTTGTGTTGTGCTCTGCAGCTTTGCTGCATGGTCCCAGGCGCATGGCAAAGACGGCATGGCTTAGTGAGCGTGCCTGATCATGTGCTCCATAAACTCACTGTGTGATGGCATTTTGGGCCTTGATCCGCAGCAGCGCCCTGGAGGGGCCAGACCGAGCGCTGCAATCGCCCGCCAGCAGCGCCAGCACCAGGGTCGCCAGCAGCGCCGCTGAACCGCAGAGCCTGAGGCTGCCGAACATGGATGCTTCAAACACTTAAGATCTCAAGGGGTTAACGAGTGGTCCCGGTTCGGAGAGGTGGCAGCCCCGCTGTTGACCACGGGGCGAGGCAGCAAAACCGTTCTGATAACAGCTGCTGCTGCAGCCGTCAAGTAGCCGTGAAGCAAGCCCAGAATCGGCTCAAAATAAAAATACTACTTCAATTAATAAAGGCCGAAAGTCACTCTGAGCATTTCGCTTCTTCTAATCGCTGAATCGCCGCGCGATGGTCCGTCAATGACGCGAGCACTGCAAAACTTCCCATCGGATTCCTTCGCTTTGGAATAGCACGACTGTAAAACAATAATCTTGCCTTCTCCTAAACCTGGGTCATGCCGCCCAAACACACGTGCTGATCCGCTGCCTCTGACCAAGTTTGGACCAGTGCCGGTATTGCAAGTGGGCAGTTGGTTCAAGAGTTGCATTGTGTCCACGTGTGTGGTGGAAAACCCCGATAGAATAGAAGGCAAGCAGTATCAGGGATACTTCTCAGTCAGGGAGGCTTAGAGACCTGGCAGCACTCCCCCGCGCCGCTGAACATGCCTACACCCTAACAGCTTTGCAGCTGCAACGGCGCTCGCGAGCCTAGTGGCGATCAAGCTGCGTTTCCTGTGCAACAGAGTGGGGACAAAAGAACTGGCTCGCATGGGGCTCTGGATGCATCAACATAATTTACAGCATCCCGTCTACCACAGCGCCTGCGCCTGATGCAGTCGAAAACGGCGGGCCGACTTGCACCTCAAGGCTCACAATATTGATGGATTGATTCAGCCACCCCTGCCACCCCCAAAGGGCGGCATGCGTGCGGTTATGGACGGACAGAGAATGCGCCTTCTGTCAGCATCATCAACGCTTATTTGGGTGCAGCCCAAGGAACGAGCAGTGCGTGCCGTCGGCAAGCGCTTGCGATGAGCAGCAGGGCGACAGCCAGCGAAGATCACAATAGGCAATTAATGATTGAGCATCATCAGAACCATTTGAATGCGCTTGCAACAGGCTAGACCTGAACCGTATGCGCTCCTCCCATTCAAGGCACAGAAGTCAGATGCGTGCGCATACAAGAATGGCAAGGTGCATGTTGAGGGTTCTTGAGCAGCTTTTGGGCTCTCGCATAGCGAGGCGGAGCAGCAGTTTGGTGCGATGGATACTGCAGGAACTCACAACCTTTGCCACTCTACAAGCCGTTCGCATAGATGTTGCAGAGCATTTGAAGCCCCCCCACGAATCTGACCATCGTCGCCTCGACATCCTCAGGCGATCAAACATGCCGCCGCGGGCGCCGCAGCTGCTGAGGCAGAGCAGAGACCGGCAAGGCCTCCGCCGGCGCCGCTTTGGCGCCGCCGGTGCCCGGCAGCGGCGCCACACCTTCCCGCCCGGTCGCCTTGAGCAGGAAGGCGTACTCTAAGACCGTGTCATTCAGCCCGTCGAAGCGCCCCGTGACGCTGAAGTGGCCGGCGCCCATCTCCGTCTTCAGCAGGAGGAGGTTGCTGTCCGTTTTAGTGGCGCGCAGCTTGGCCACCCACTTGGCGGGCTCCCAGTAGCCGACGCGCTGGTCCTGCAGACCGGCGGTCACGAACAGGTTGGGGTACCTGCGCATGGAAAAGAATGCATCGATTTGGAAATAATCCACACATGTCCCTGTGTGCCATACAGCAACAAGGACATGCACAGGGTGTGAACAGCAGGGCACTCAAGGAAATGGACAACACCGCACATGCCGGGTGTCTCGGAGGCAGAGGACAACGCTGCCGTTCAACCCGGAAAGCTAGGCGTGCCACTTGACGTTGAGGGGACGGGGCGCCTTATCGCAAGCGGCACGGTCAAAGCGTGGTCAAAGCCCTGCGCCATTATGAGTGCACCGAGCCAACGCCGGCCCATTGCTCACCTCTGCGCCCGTACGTTATCCACTGGGGCGTAGCTCTTGATGTAGCTGTAATAGCTTGCATTTTTGGGATTCCCCCACTCCTCAAACTCCACTGCAAAAGAGTCGTTGGGACAGGAGAACAGTACAGCGGTAGGTGGGTGAGGCATGGCTTTTGCATGACAGAGCGGCTGGGTGATGGCGGGCAGCGCTGCCTCCTCCCCGTTTGCCATGCAGGGTTGAAACAACCACATCTCCAAATGCAGCCGCCGTTCCTTGTCAGGGCCGCTGGGAGGGAGTGGTGCGAGACCCGCACTCACCGGTGGTGAGCGGGATGGAGTCGTCCAGCATTGTGGTGACAACGTCCACGAAAGGCACTCCAGCAATCGCGGCTTGGAACAAGTCGGGGCGCATGTTGAGCACCGCCCCGATCAGCAGGCCGCCGGCGGAGCGGCCCTCGACGGCCAGAACCTTGCTGCTGGTGTACTTGTGCTGCAGGAGGAGGCATCAAGGCACGTGAGTTTGGCGTGTGCAGGCACCGCCTTCGCGCGCATCACGGGTGTCACCTCACGCACCAAACATCGTTCATGCGCTGTACAAGAACACCTGGGCAAGCACAATGTGCATTGTGCTTTGTCAGCAAAAGCATTGCAGTGCCCACCTTCAAGAGATGCTCAGCGCATGCGATGAAGTCTGTAAATGTGTTTTTCTTTTTCAGGTACTTTCCGTCTTCGTACCAATAGCGACCCATGTCGCCACCACCACGGACTGCATGATTTGGTGTACGTGCATGTGTGTGCGTGCGTGTGTGCAAGTGTGTGCATGCACGCGTGCGTGTGAATGTTTTGTCTGTGTGTGTGTGTGTGTGTGTGTGTGTGTGTGTGTATGAGTGTATGTGTGTGTGTGTATGTGCGCGAGCGTGCTAGCATTGGTGTGGTCATTTTTGGGGACGACGGGGCCTGTGCGGCTGATGCCTGGTTCCGAGACGGACTGCAAAGTTTGGAGTCATACAAGAGACTCCCCGCCCTACTAAATGCGTTCTTTCCAATTTCCGCGCGCAATCCAGTAACATGTAGCGCCATACGGGCAATGCGGCCGCCACCCACCGTGCGCTATGGCCACGACCCAGCCGCGGTCTAGCAGGCTCAGGCGTTCTGAGCTGAACGACGGGTCCACCGAGTCGCCATACGCACCATACCTGTTGACAAGTTGCAGGGGGTAGTGCAATACAGCGGTTGTATCACAAGACTGCATGTGTCAAGGCATCCCCGCCTGTCCACCGCCGCCAACCGCGGCTGTGAGGCACGCACCGGCCGGCGCGCCCGCACAACATGGGGCCGGTGACATGGGGCCGCGGCTGGGTGAAGCCCTGCGCGGGAGCTGCCGCCGCTCACCCTTTCAGCAGCAGGGGCGCGGCGCCGTCCCTTTTGAAGGAGGCCCTGCGGTACACCAGGCTTATGGGAACGCGGGCGCCGTCGGGCGCGACGGCCCACAGCCGCTCAGTCTTGTAGTCGTCCTTGCTGAAGCCGCCGAGAACGGGAGTGACCTGCTCATGGAGGGAGGGGGGACGGTGGGGCGCCGGCCAATTGGGGGTGGCGACAGGGCGCTGGCCGCAGCAGCAGCAGGAGGTCAAGCACTGAGCTTGAGAGGGTGCCAGGGCAACATGGCAAAGGGTGAGGCGGGCGCTGGTGTCGGCCGATGCAAGCGCACTCACAAACACCGGCGCTCGTGATGGGTAGCGTTGACGCGGCCGTCACATTGATCAGAAACCCCACCTTGCGGACCGCCCTGCGGCCGGAGGGGATGTCGAGATCTATGGCGCGCGGGGGCGTAGTCATGCTCTCGTAGTACAGCCGCAGCACATCCGTGTCGAAATCCGCAGTGAAGGCTGCGGGTGGCGCGAGCGGGGCGCGGTGATGCGGGGCGCGGGCGCGGCCGGGCGTGCGACACACCCGTCAGAGTGCAGCAGGTGCACGGGGCAGGGGCGCTTTGCCGAGCAGGGGTGCGGTAGCAGGGTAGATGCGCAAGCGTATCTTGTGGGCCAAAACATTTTGAGCGAGGGACATTCAGAGGGCTGGCAAAACCCCCAACAGATTCAATGATGACATCATCTTTGCTACGCACATCCCGAGAGGGTGTAGACCTCTTCTTCGAACTCGATGGGCTGGCCGTCTTTGAGCCGTGTGGTGGGCATCTTCCCGCCGGCGTCGATGCTGTATAGCACTAGCCGCGTGCTGGCGTTGGCGCGCTCTGTCACCAAGATGTGCTTTTGGGACATCGAGACCGAATCAATCTGGACGTCCCGCCGGTGGGGCAGGATCACCTGGGAGAGATGTATGTGTGTGTGTGTGTGTGTGTGTGTGTGTGTGTGTGTGTGTGTGTGTGTGTGAGTGCGCGAGTTTGTGCGTGCATGTGTATGCTTTGCACAGAGTAGAGTGTTGCTTGAGCATAAAAGCAGGGGTCTGGGCCAGCCAATGCGCCCTTTTGTTGAATCGGCCGGACAGAGCCGCGCATGCCGCCGCACGCCGCCAAGGGGAGTGGCGGCGGAAGCCGGCGCCGCATCAGCCACGCGCCTCGTGCACTCACCGTCTGCTTCCTGGGGTCACTCATGGGTGCAACCAGCAGCTCGTAATTTGGGCGGGCCTTGTCGCGCACCAGCAACAAGAACCTGCAGACGGTTGCCATGGGTGTGTACGTGGTCGGTGCGCGTTGCCTGCACTGGCCCTGTGGTGTGGGGTTCAAACCCTGAACCCTGAATCCTGGGTGGACGCATGAGCGGGGGACTTGGGCAGACCGGGAGACTCATGATGTCGTGAAGCCCTGGCACCAGGGCAGACCGTGCAGCGGCAGCCCGCCCCTGTCCTTTGCCCTTACCAGTCCTCTCCGGGCGTGGGCCCTGGGTGATGGCGCACCACGTAGTCAAGGTCCTGCAATGATGTGCATTCGGCAAATTGAGCAGGGCAGCCGACGGGCTCGGGCACCCAAACAACAGCTCCTTGAAGCCAAGGTAGAGCCGTACATATCGCAGGCACGGCTGCGCTCGAGCTGTCATTGGGCTGAGTGGAGCAGCCAGAGTTGCTGGCCTTGCCGATATGTTGCTCCCATCGCTTGCCTGTGGGAATCAAGCCCCAATCCTATAAAAACATTTGCGCTGGCAATCTAATGCCAATGGGCAAGCTTGCAGCATACCACAACAGGCTCGCGGCATGAGCTGCCACGCTGCAGCCCCTCCCCCTGGCACACTCTTTAAGCTTCCGAGCACCCAGCTGCCAAGCTCACATGTACGCGAGGCATGACGGCTGTGAACTTCCCGGTTGGGTCGTCGGTTCGGAGGTACTGGATCTCGCTTGTGAGTTTGGAGCCTAGGGGCAAGCAGGTGTTGGGATGGTTGCCAGAGATCTGTGGATGTTTGCACTCTGATTTTGTACGCTGTGCGCACGCGATTGCGTGCATGCCTGCTTGTGTGTGTGTGTGTGTGTGTGTGTGTGTGTGTGTGTGTGTGTGTGTGTGTGCGCGCGCGCGTGTGCGCACGCGCGTGCGTGCGTGTGCGCAAAAGTGAGCACAGGTCAGCACAGCGCAGCTGCCACAGGCCAAGCAGCTGCGGCGCGCCACGGTGCGCTGCTCATTGGGGTGGGGAGTATGGGCCCTCTCACTCAGCGATATGAAAAGCAGCCGCTGGCTGAAGCTGCGCGAGATGCCGGCGTTGAAGGCGTCGTCTCGCTCCTCATAAATGAGGACGTCCTTGCTGCTGGGGGCGCCGATCCTGGAGGGTTGGGAGAGGGGTACCATGACAGCCCGGGTGTTCTCAGGTTTCAGGCTCAACACTTGAGGGATCGGGCCAGTTATGGGAGGGGAGGGAAACGGGCGCCGCATTTATGCGACGTCAGCAGGCAGCAGCGTAGCATGGCAGCAGGCCCTGGGAGCGGCAGATCCCTCCCTGGATGCATGGCTAGCACGCCAGCGCTGGCTGCAAAGCCCAAGTTGTGTTCAAATGTCAGATGGGACATTGGGCGGTGCAGGGTTGCTCACTTGTGTCTCATGACCTTGCTGGGGCGATTCGCTTCATCAGTCAGCAAGTACAGCTTGGTTGGTTTGGGGATGGGAGGAGGACGGAGGCTTCATGACCAAGCGAGGAAAAGAGGAAAAGCCCCGTCAACGTGCAGGATGCATGGTGACGGGCAGGAGGAACCTCACCACCAGCAACGTGGCGCGCACGCATAATCATGGGCAAAGAGGGGCAATGCCGTGCTGTGGCGCGCACCACAGTGGTGCTGTTGTCAGCCCAGGCAATGCTGCCGTCTGTTTCAGGGATTGGGTCGATGACCTCACGGCCTGTCTTCAAATCCTGTGGCGGTTTGGCAGATGATCACAATGGGTGCTGACAGAAGCAGCGACGTGCGGCGCAGACACAAATTGGGGCGTGGGGCCGGGGTTGAAGCCTTTGGACGTTGCCGTATCCGGCAAACGCACAAGAGCAGCCGAGTTCACATGAGCGTCCTACCCACAAACATGCCCCCGGACAGACACAATCTCCCACAGACGCTTGCAATCATGAAATTGAACAAACGTATTTCTTTACTAGCAGCTGACGGAAGATGTGTCACACGCACTTGCTTAAACGCACGCGCGCGCGCACACACACACACACACACACACACACACACACACACACACACACACACACACACACACACACACACGCACACACACAATCACACACACGCACAAACCCACACATGCACTGCCACCACCACTACTGACACGCTCGCACACAAGCGGCTGCGTCAAAAGTCTCAAGCCCGGGCGCGTGCCAGGCCAGCACAGGCAATCCCACCTTGACACGCAGGGTGTACTTTTCCGCGCCCGCGGTATCCTCAGTCCAGGCCATCAATTTGCCGTCAGGGGACACATCGATCGTGCTGACCTGCGGCAAGAATGTATGATGCAGCACGGCGTTGACATGTCATGCAGCCTGGCGCCTCAACAATCAACGGGCAGCACGAGGACACTGCAGTTCAGCCGCCCGTGCGCAATCTTTGCTCCGCCTCATGCTGTTCCAGCAAGGAAAGCATGCTTCCGAAAGGCAAACAAATCGTCACATGGACCAGAAATGCAACTGTCACTCATCGTTTGACGGCACAAACGCCTGATTGCGGGCACTGCAAGTGGACGATCTGCGCACCATGTAAAAGGTGGAGTTCAGCTCCTGCCGCCGCCTGTTCTCGTCCAGCAACACCTCTTCCACGGCGTTCGGCGGCGGCGCGTCCGTCTCGTTGGGGCGCGCCGCGCCGGCCGGGACCTTCACGCGCATGTGGACGCTGTACTGCTGGCCTGTCCCCACTTTTGCGAAGTACCTGCGGCCAGACGGCGGGGCGGAGGCGAAGGTGGCGGCGCATGCGGGGCCCAAGGACGGGACGCTTGTGCTGGCAAGCAGCGGCTGTGCGGGGACCCATTCGTTGTCCAAGCCGCATGCCATGCCTGAGCGGGGAGGGAGAGCACAAGGGCCCTGGCAGCATCCGGCTGCAAAGCGGACTCCATGATGAGAGAGCGCTGTGATGCGTGAATGGGGCTGCTAATATGTTGCTGTAACATCCCAGGGGATGATTGGTGCCGCCGCTGTCGAGCATATGGTGTGATGGCACCCAGGGTCGGCGCACCAGTACCCAAGATCCCTTTCGGGAACGCCTGTATCGTCCTCTTTGATGCGGCCGCGCAATTCCCGGTACAGACGGTCCTGTGTGTGTGTGTGTGTGTGTGGTTGTGGGTGTTGCGCCTGCCAAGTGCAGCGAGATCAGGGTCCCCAGCGGTGCGTAAGGAGTGTGGTAAAGCCCTGGGCATAAAGCACGGATGCAGGAGTGTGCGTTGAAGCTTGTCTGCTGCCCCGCGACGGGACGGGTGAGGGGCTCCGACCACGCACACCGCCGCGGGCTGGCGCAGCCAGGGCGGAACGCGCAGCACTGCAAAGGCACGGGTAACTCGTTCTCGACGCGAGCGTCGGCCCGGCGCGGGCGCCCGCTCTGAGCGGTGGCATTCCCTCCCCTGAAGGGCAGGCCTGCCCCAATGAGCGGCCGACCTGCAAGCCCTTGGTGCCCGCCATGACGGCGTCGGTGTAGTTGTTCTCGGCCTCAAGGTATGAGATGACCTCGCGGCTCTTGCGGGCGTCATCCCTGAGCCTGCACGCGGCAACAGAGGGAAGGGGGCGCGCGGCAGAGGGGAGATTGCCGGCCAGGGGGTACAGGCGCTGCAGGCGTCCCGGGGCGCGAGGGTGTCAGCTATCAGTTGCGACCCCAAGGCCCTGCACGCCTCGCAGGCGGCGGTTACGTGCAGGGCTGCCGGCGCGTGAGGCGCATGGTGAGTTGCCGCCTTGGGAGGGGTGCAGGTGCACCAGCAGGCTGCTGTCGGCGCGCTTGGCCGCGCACCAGCGGCCATGCAGATTGTCAGATATCTGTACTCACCAGTAGTAATTGTCAACGCGGGTGTCGTTGTTGGCCTTGATGAGGTGCGGGCGCTTTGGAGCGACCGGCGGCCGCAGTGCCGGCGCCGCGCCGCCTTGCGGCCTGGGGAACCCATCGCGGATGGCATGGGGCACGGGGCAGCGCGTGGGGCGGGCCGTTTGCGCAAGCAGAGGCGCTGACGTCCTGCGCGGCGCACTGCACCACATGATAGCCGTCCGCCCGCCCCACCACCCACCCGAGGATTGACCTCCTGCAGAGCACGCCTAGAGGCTGACCGGACGGCCCGCACCCGGGGGCGAGCTTGCGAGTGGCGACGTCTGCACAGGGAAGCGGCGAAGAGGGGTGGGGCGCGTGTGGCTGGTTTCATCACAGCTCGCGACCCCGCCTACAAGCTGCGCCGGGCGCGGCCCACCTGCGGCGTTGCCGCCGAGTCCCCATATGGTGCTGCTAGTGCTGCTGATCAAGGCTAGCAGCACCAGCGCCGCGCCCGCGCCTGCGCCGGCCCACCACCGGGTGTGGACGGGCTGCATTTAGGGCTAGTTTCGGTGCTGGGCGCGGGCTCAGGCTCGCCCTCGCAGTGTCACCCTTGGGCCGCCCTCTCGCGCTGGGCAACCACCGTGCAGCGTCGCGGCGTGCAGGCCAGGGCCACGCTTGGGCCGACCCTTCATGCGCTATGGGGCCGGCTGTTGTTGTCACCGAAGGCTGAATACGATTTACTAGCGGTCCAGAAAGTACACAGCGTCGAAGTGTGTATGTAGATCCGGTGACACGGTCTACACTGCAGATCGACGGGTCGCTACTACTGGGCGGGTGGTGCAGACTGGTGGACCCTATAATCAATGCTGGGGCCTCGTGGAATGCAGCTCGCGGCCGCCATTAGCGCAGGCGCAGCTGATGTTGTGGGCGGTCGCACCCAAGCCCGAAGCAGTGAAGCCGCCAGGCGGCTGCCCGGACCGGGCGTCACTCGTTGCGCCGTACCACCGCAATTCGACAGCTGCGATTCAGAGGAGTGCGCCGTCCAGGCGCAGACGGCGCACTGCCGGCCCTGTGTCACGGAGATTGTCCTGCAGTAGCAAGGCTCTGGGCGTGCGTGAGGCGGTTGAGGTTTCCAGCCGCCTCCAAGCTGCAGCAGGCCCACAATGGGGCCCAGCAGCTCTGCACTTTCAATTTGTGACGTGAATATGCTACCTAAGCGATGCCAGACGTCTGTTTCCCCGCACCAAAACATGGCCGGGCCGTCTCAGCAAGATCCCTGGGGTAGCCTCTGCACAGATTAGAGACGTTCTGCTTTACAGGGCAGCTTGCGCAAAGGCAGCGCGGCGATTGTGTTATGGTACGAGCAGCGGTGCAGACGTAGAGTCAAGCCGCCGAAGGTCAAACGTTAAGGATGGGTCAAACGCTGCAGCCGTCAACCGCGCTGGAAAAACGATACCTCCGCTAGCCGGCCGAGGGCGCCGCCGGAACAGCGGAAAGAGGGCCGGGCCGGGCCGGGCCGGGCGGGCCGGGGCAGCCGGCGCCGCCGCGTCAGAGCAGCACGTTTATGTGGAAGGCGTTGAGCAGCTTCTGGGCCTCCAGCTTGACCGCGTCCTCCCCGCGCCCTTCGCTCTCCAGCAGCCGCCGCAGCACGTCCTGTCGTAATGACGGGGCGGGCGCTCTTGGTACGCAAAGATCAACTCAAGCTTGCATCGACCCCCGGGGCACGGCCAGGCCGCGCCAGCGCTTGTCCGCAGGCACTGGCAGCGGCTGGGGTGCGGCCGCGCGTGGCCGTCTTTATTGAGCCTGTTGATGCCGAACGAGCGTGGCGCCGGGTGCGCAAAGCGCGATGGGCGAGGTCGCGGCGCGCGGTCACCTGTATTCTGAATTTCATTATGAACTCCTTCGGCCGCGGGTGGTGCTCGTACAGCACGCGCAGTATCTCCAGCAGCCGCGCGCGCAGGATGGGGGCGCCGCCGCCCGGCGGAGACGCGAGGGGCTCGAGCAGCGGGGGCACCAGCCCGCCGGTGGCCATTGCCACGGACAGCTTGGACGACCTTTCGGGGGCGGGGGGCGGCGACGCATCGCGGCGGGCGCTTGAGGGTTGAGCCGCTCGCCGCATCCTGCCTTGCTTTCTGGCGCTTGCGTCTCCTGAGCGGACGTCAAGCCGCGCGGGTCTGCTTCCCCCGTTCTCATACTTTGAGCGGCATAACCAGTAGCTGCACATGTGCCTCAACAGACATGCGACACACACAGTGGATGCAAGACACACGTGTGCACGCGCGTGCAAACACACACACACACACACACACACACACACCTGACACGCTGACGAATGCACGCGAACACCAACGCGCAATCACGCACACATCTCCATCGCCCCCGCGCCCGCTCCTCCACCCCCCACCTGCTCAGCATCAGCTTCAGGCTGTCCAGCATCTGCGGCATCGTGGCCATGTCCCGCTGGCGGCACGCGGTCGCAAACAGCTCCACCAGCTGCCCCACGGCCTGGGGGGCCACCAGGCGGTGCTCCACGCGTGCGTGGTCCTCCAGCAGCCAGGTGTCCAGGGCGCGCAGCAGCCCAACCTGCATCTGGGAGTCCTGGGGGCAGTTCAATGGGGGGCGGGGGGCGGGGGGTGGGTGGATGTGGAGGGTTTGATCAGCGAAGAAGGGAGGAAGTCTGTGAGGTGGGTTGGGAGGATTGAGGGTTGAGGGTGGACGCGGGCGCATGTGGTGGGAGACGGGCGACATGGGCGCCCCCGCGGGGCGCTGTCCTGCGGGCTTGTGCACGCACCTGTTAAGCAGCTGCCAGCCGCACCCTTGGGAGCTGAGCTCTCTCCGGGTCCTCGGCCATGCGCCTGAGACGCGCGGCCCCGCAGGGTCATGCGCACCCCAGCGCCGCGCACACAGTCACATGTGCACCCCCAAGTCAAGCACGCGCAAAGCCGACACCCCTGAAGAGCCGCATGCCCCCCCTCCCCGCAAAGTTTACACTAAGCAGGGGCGGCGCCCTGCGTTTCAAACCATTCCCTTCTAACCAACAGTTCCCTTAAAATACAATTCCCTCCAGGCTCACACGCCCAGCAGACCCAGGCCTCCTTTCCCTCACCTCCTCCCCCAGCAGCTGCAGGAAGATGTCCAGGCCGCTGCACGCCCACAGCTTGGCGCGCGTGCTGCTGCTGGTGCTGGCCATGCCGATGAGCATGGGCACCACAAACCCCCGCACCGCCGCGCGCCGCGCCTCTGCTGCGGCGGCGCCGGTCAAAGGGTCGAGCACCGCAGGCTGCTGCTGCTGCTGCTGCTGCTGCTGAGAGAGGGCCGGGGAGGACTCCAGGGCGAAGCGGCACAGGTGCTGCACTATGCCCGCGGTGGCGGCGACCTGATCAAGTCGGGAATGCAGCGTGGCAAAATTGCAATGAGAGTCAAGCGCTGGCTGCAAAAAATCGCGCCTCGCATCGCGCCGACCCCGTTGTCCGTGTGCACGCGGCTGTACCATGTCATGCCACATGCGACGCCCCAATGCAGGGTGCGCGGGGCGTATGTTTGGGGCCAGGGGCTGGGCGAAGTCGCGCTCAGCAAAGGGAGAAGCAACGCGATGCTTGGCGTGCCTGCTGAAAGTGCGGGCACACACCAAGATGCGCCGCACGCGCGCGCGCGCACACACACATACACACACAGACACACAAACACTCTAACACACACACACACACACACATGCGCGCATGCGCCACACCTCTAGGTGCACACGCTTATTGAATTTGCATATGTTGTACAGCGCGTGCAGAGCCTCCAGCTGCGCCTCCGGCCCCGCCGCCGCCTCCCTCTCCCGCGACAAAAACGGCACCAGCTGATTGATGGCGCCGGCGTCCTTGATGGCCGGCAGGACGGACGCCTCGCCGGTCAGCCACCGCAGGGCGCGCATTACCTGGGCGGAGGAGGCGGGGG